GCTCCTATATATTGTAAATTGGAGTTTTAAGACTTTTTCAAATGATCAAAATTTAAGATTATTTCAATTTTATAATATAAAATCTAATATTAAATTTTGTCATTTTCCTTTTATCTATTTTTTTTTCTCAATTTTTAGTGGTTCATCATAGGCAAAAACCAACATTTAGTGTCTCACCTTACAAAATTGGAAGGTTGTAACCTCTCATCTTATAACATGACACTTTATAGGCCTTTTACCTTACAAAGTTAATAGATTTTAGCCCCTCACCATACAAAGTTGGTAAGTTTCAACCCCTCACCTATACGAATTGAAGAAAATGACCCTAACCTAATATCAGGCTATACGAATTGAAGAAAATAACCCTCACATAATATCAGGTTATAACATTCTGTTAGTTATGCTAGCTAACTGTTAACATCTGTTAGCATTTCGTTATAAAAAAACATGAAATTTAAATTCAATTTTATATATTAATTCCATTAATGAAATGCTAACGAATGTTAACGGATGCTAACAGTCAACTAATAGAAATAACAGTCAGCTAACATAATTGATAGTTAGTTAACAGAATTAACAGAAATATTATAACCTGATATTAAGTGAGAATTATTTTCTTTAATTCATATAGATAATGGGCAAAAAGTGTCATAGTATAAGGTGAAAGGCTAAAACTTATCAACTTTGTAAGGTAAGAAGCTAAAACCTATTAATTTTGTAAGGTAAAATGTTAAAAGTGTTATATTATAAGGTTAGGGGTTAAAACCTACCAATTTTATTAGATGAGGGGCTAAAGTTGGTTTTAGCCTTCATAGTAGCCATGGAACAATTTTAGTTGTAATAGTGTTTTTTAGGCATTCAATTATTAGTCTATAAACTATCAGTTTAATTTCATTTTAGTCTAGAAAGTTTATTTTCTTTCTAAATAGTCTATTAACCTTGGAAAATATTTCAAAATAATCTACTATATAAAATTTCTATTCAATTTAACAAGAAAAAGTAATCCTTTAAGTTTTGAAAAAGTAACATTATAATCTTAATAATATATGAAGACTCAAAAAATACTTTATATAGATAGGTTAATTAGAATTTTTAATAAACTTGAACAACTAACTCAATTCAAACAGAGAAACTTAGTAAGTTTAGAACGAGAAGTTTCAAGAGTAATTCTGTTTTACATAACAGACTGTGTCTAGTCTATCCTATAAAATTATTTAAATGTTTCAAAAAAATAATATAAAAATAAAAGTAGGGGCATTTAAATAATTTTACAAGAAAAATTGTATGCAGTCCATTTTGTAAAACAGTATTATGAAAAACACATTTAGCAAGATAAGAATAAAAACTATTGTTATGGTGAATATAAATTTAAGGGTTCAAAAATAAAAAAAAAATATAGTTAGAGGATTAAATATTTTTTTATAGAATAAGAAAATTTCGTTAAAGATAACAAACTAGATGAAATTAAAATAAATGTGAAAAATAATAGACATGATTGGAAGAATTCAAAGATAATAGATGAAACTAAAAAGAATATGAAAGTTAATAGATGATTTGTTAAATTAAACCATATTTTTTATTTGAGTGAGATTTAAAATCTTATTATTTATTTATTTATTTTTAAATTGCATAACATATTCAAATTCTTTATCATCTATTTATTTGATATCATATTGCTTAAGTCATTGGTTTTATAGTCTTATTTACATTAACCATGTTAGTTTTATTTTAGCTCCTTTTTTGCTTATAAACAAGTTTTTATGTTGTCGAAGTTTTCTCCATGTGTTCTTTTGTTATTAACGGTTGATATTGCAATAAATCCGTAACTATTATTTTTATCATGTTGCATTTTCATCTTTAATAACAAATCATAATATAATAATTATAATTAAGAGTGTTTATATCTGATCCAATCAAATTGATCCGACCTAAACTGATTCAATCTAATCAAAAACTGATCCAAACCGATATAAAATTGGGTTGGTTTGAATTCTAAAATTTTAAAACCGATATAATTAATTTGGTTTGTGATTTTACCTTCAAACTGCCCGAACTGTCTGATTAGAAAATAAAATCTGATTAAAAGATAATTTAATTAAATAATATAACATATTTTTTGTAGTATTTAAAATTTTTTTTCTTACTTTACAAGATAATAACTCCATTAACTTAATTAAAAAATAAAAATTAAACATCTCCATATTTCCTAAGTTATTTTTCCATTTTAATCATGTACTTTAACCCTAATTCTAAATTTCTAATTCACTAGCAACTCTATCCTTTCCGAACTAGTTTGCGCCTTTACTCTTACAATCCTAAATTTCTAATTTATTCTTAAAATAATCTTATGATTCTCCTAACTAAATTTTAAATAAGTTTCATTCTAAAAGTCTTAAAACTATATAATAAAATTAGTCTTGATATTCTACTATTCTTGGATATTTGGTTTAGAAGTTTTAAATTTTGATTATAAATGCTTCTAATTAATTTTAGTAATATTCGTGTTAAATTTTTTTCATTTTTAACAAGATTTAGAAAATGTGATTAAATTATTAGTGCATTAAGAAAAAAAAACTAATTTTAACCTTCAAGAATTATTTATATTGTGCTAGAAATTGAAGTTATTTTTTATTATTTTTGGTGCCTCTAGTGAATAACCAAGAAGAATTTTTTTGAGTTTTTCAATTTTTACAAATATAAAGAAGTATAAAAATTCGTTTATAATTTTTACTTTTTATTATGTTTTTACTGATTTGGATGTTAATGGATGTTAATGTGTTTTATAATTATACATTCTATTTGGGCCAAAGCCCCTATTTGCACCCTCCATTTATTTTTTTCCGCGGTTAACACCTTCCAGAATTTTTCCTCCCTATTCATACCCTCAATTTTTCAAAACCCGTAAAAAACCCAACATTTTAATGCGCCCTCACGGTACCGTTACAAAATGCACTACGTGGCACCCAAAAATTTACGTGGCCACTCTGTGCCGTTAGTAATCCAATGTGGATGCCTTTTCTTGATGATGTGGCTTATTTAGGCGTTATATGATATTATTTATCTAATGTGAACGGTATTTTGATGATGTGAGATCATGACATGGCATAATTTTTATGTGAAAATCTCCCAACCAAAAAATAATAATAATAATAAGAACAGGAGCTCTGGGTCCCTTGTGAGGAACCCAATCTGGGTTCCTCGTCGTGAGGAACCCAGATCGGGTTCAAGTTGGGTTCCTCTGGAGGAACTCATGAGGAACTCGAGCTGGGTTCCTTGGGAGGAACCCATGAGGAACCCGACTCTGGGTTCCTCGTCGTGAGGAACCCAGCTGGGTTCCTCGTCGTGAGGAACCCAGCTGGGTTCCTCATGGGTTCCTCCCAAGGAACCCAAATCAGGTTCCAGACAAGGAACCCAGAGCTCATGTTTTTATTTTTTTTATTTTTTTATTTTTTTTTTGTTGGAAAATTTTCACATAAGAATTATGCCATGTCATGATCTCATATCATCAAAAAATCATCTACATTAGATAAATAATATCATATAACACCTAAATAAGCCACATCATCAAGAAAAGGCATCCACATTGGATTAATAATGGTACAGAGTGGATACGTCAATTTTTGGGTGCCACATAGTGCATTTTGTAATGGTACCCTGACGGCGCGTTAAAATGTTGGGTTTTTTATGGGTTTTGAAAAATTGAGGGTGTGAATAGGGAGGAAAAATTCTGGAAGGTGTTGACCGCGAAAAAAAAATAAATGGAGGATGCAAATAGGGGCTTTGGTCTTCTATTTGATGTTAAAATATTTTTACATTATTTTATATATTTAATAATGTTAAAAACCAATCAATCTGACTGAACCACACTGATCTAATTTAAATTAGATTGATTTGATTATCATATAATAGTGAATTGAATTGGTTTAAAAATTTTACTAACTGATTAAAATTGGATTAGTTTAAAAAATAATAAAATTCGAATAAAATCACACCGCAAACACCCCTAATTACAATTAAGATTACATTTAATTTTCACTAAACTATGATATAATAATTGTAATTGAAATTTAAAATTACATTTTTCATTAAGAAAATTTTGCACATACAAACCTTTTATCTTCCATATTCACTTATACTTTTATCATTGAATTGAGTAATAATAGTAATATTAAATAACAATAATAACAATAATAAATTGA